ACAGGGTAAAATTATAGACACAATACTCTTCTAATCTATCATTATATGTAGCACATTTACTTCATTTGCCAGGATTTCTATATAATCTGCGTAAAGCAGTATACTTATATTTAGGTCATCAATTTTGATTCCGCCGCCGATGAATTTATGAAGGTCGTCTAAGTAAAATGCAAATAGCAATGGGGGCATAGAAAACAACGGTGCAACGACACAAAATCAATATGCTGAAGGAGGCATTTCCCGGTGTGGCTTTCAGAAGTTGCGGATTTATGTCAACAAGCCCTAGACTCGTTCATCTCTTAAATCCGTCAAGAATGTGAGGACCTATTGCCGGAAGTTTTGGCCAAAGTGATGGAAAATGCCATAAAAAGGGCTCAACTGACAATAAACTGTGGCGGCGGCCATTTACATGACATAATATTCTCGACTTGATAAAAAAACTAAAAGTCCAAATAAAATTAATTGACAAGAAGAATATAAGTTTTTCATTTTTCAATTACAGCCAAAAAATATCGGAAGTTTACTTTGCGCCACATTGTATTATACATTTTAATGTTTACAGTTGATAATCTGTATTGTCAAATTTAAGGGAAAACTAAAAAAAAAAAAAAAAACAATTTGTTTCTACTATTCATTCGATATTTTGTAGGATGGTCAGATTTTGTACATTTTTATATCACCCTCGATCTTATGGAACAACATTAGTCAAAGACCAATAATTGTCCATCGCCACTTCGTCTGTTTAATTCAATATAGAGATAACAATATTCTAGTGAAATGAATTCAATTTGTTGCAATACTCGTAAGGAATTTGGAAGGAAATTATCACCATGTAATGGATAGTCAATATTTAAGGGTTCTAAGTCAACTTCGGACCAGCTGAACTCAACGTCGTTTTTGCTTGTTTGTTGGGTTTTTTTATATAAACATGGCCATAGACCAAGCACCAATGCAATTTTTACCATGTTTTACAATATTCCTAGCAAAGTTTTTAATAACCAAATAAGTGGTTACATTTTGGCACAAAGCTAAAATCCATCCCATCCTTACTTCTTATGATATGGATATAATTATTTACCCTACTACGGCCAATAGCCGAAGAATAAGTACAAAAAGCAGATGCAACTTCGGCAAAATTGGTAAAACCTAGTTCAGACCTAGTTATAGTTGCCATTTATATTGTTCATCCGATTTGAAATTTAAGTCCTTTGCAACTCATTGTACCCCGCACCCATTGTTTCATTGGTAACAGCAACAGTATATGCATTCTATCAATAGATTTGTGCATAAAAATCTAAATTTTTTGTTGGTACCCCCAAATTTTGGGTGAGGGTCACTCTTGTTGTGAGGTGTGAGATAAGTCTACGTTTCTGGAAATTCGTACAAGAACGGTACGAAAGGTACTAAAATTATTAAACTCTTAAATTTTTAAAAGGGGTTTTGGAAAATCGCACTACAAGTGTATGAAAAGTACTAAAACGTACAATTTTAATTTCGGTAGAACCGGAAAAGTTGTGATCCTGAAATTTGCAAATAAGATCACTCTCGGAGTTTAGGTAGGTAGTTATGGAAATTTATACTTCTACGTACTAAATCGAAATAAATTTGGTACAAATTAAAATTTCGGTGAGCTTGAATTCTGTAATTTGGAAATAACATTTCTATGGGATTGTGTGATTGAGGTAGTTTCGGAATTTGGTATGTAGGAAGTTTTAAAATTCGTACTTATGTGTATTAAATGTGGTACAATTTGGATTTGTGTGATTGGGATGGAATCCTGAAATTTGGAATTAAGATTAAAGTTGGAATATAAGGTTGGGTTATGAAAGAACTTTGATACGAATTGGATATGGGTGAACCTATGGAGCTGGAGTCCTAAATTTAGGATTTTTTTGGAAATTAGTACTAGAATGGTGCACAATTTAGTATTGATTTCTATTAGTTACGCCTAATAACCATAATATTGAGTCTACAATAATAATGTTTCATTCCCAAGTGCACGTAGTAATGTATGGTAACTCATTCTCAGTCTACCTACATTTGGTAGTAATGTACTCATACAAGGATGGTTCGGAAACTTCTTAGCCTAACAATGAAAGAGAATTGTTAGTTTTTCAAAAAAATATATATATATATATATATTTTTCAAGATAATCTCCTGAAACTTCAATACACTTTGCCCAACGCTTTTCTAGCAATTATATCCCTTAATTAAAATAGTTTTCCTCAAGGTCTTCAAAATAGTAGTTTACAACTGTAATTGCATCTTCATTTAAGGTAAAACGCTTGCCAGCAATTAATTTTTTTAGATTTCGCACTCTTGTGCGAAAAGAAAATTTAATATGTGTTCAAAACAGAGACAGGCAACCAGCAACAAAGCTCTAATAGAGTTAATCTCTTTGTTTGCATGCAAAGTTTTAGATTACAAGTGGTCATCATCTGCAGTTATATGGAGACTTTACGGCAACATGGTTCAATATGGACATTTTTGGTAAGGATGTTTTCTACTGTGACGATCCATCCTTTTGGTATAATCCTTTCCAAAGTTCACTACCATATTTATACCCCACACCACAAGTTGTTTGTATCAGGCACAAGGAAACGAGATAGACCCATAGTTCCTTTTGATGGTCTGCATAGAATCACATCTGAGTCGATATATGCGTGTCCGTCTATTCATGTATTTTTGTAAACAAAGTACAGTTCGCATTTATTGCCCGATCCAGATGAAATTTTAAAAAAATCATTCGTTTGGCCCATTGTGCACCAAACGTGTAATATCAGCCAGAATAGTATGGAATTTTTCATATACAACCATATTAGGCCTGGAAATAAGTATGCCAAATTTGATCGAAATCGGTTCAGATATAGCTATAGCTTCCATATATATTGTTCATCCGATTTGTTATCCGATTTTGTCCTCCGCAGCCGTAATATGCGCTCTGTAACAACAATATTTGGGGAAATATATCAAATACAGCTCAGAAATACCTTTGCTAAATTTTATCGAGATCGGTTCGGATTTGGATATACTTCCCATGTATATCTTCGTCCGATTTACTATTTATTGCGCACCAAACGTCTAATATGTGCCCAAATGGTATGAAATTTCGCACTTACCGAATTGAGTCTAGAAGCTAGTATGTCAAATTTGGTGAAGATCGGTTCAGATTTAGCTGTAGCTCCCATATCATCATTTGTTATATTTGTTACCCACAGCCGTAATATGCACTCCGTAACAGCGATATTCAGGGAAATAGATGAAATACAGCTCGGAAATATCTTTGCCAAATTTTATCAAGATCGGTTAAGATTTGGATATAGCTCCCATATATATCAAATGGGCAATACAAGTCCGAATTTAAAAGCTACAAATGCTTCGGGATTTTGAACTTTAAATTACAATTATAATCATAGCGTGTATGATTGAATTCTCCCATAAAAACTTTTAATTGTTATGTGAAGCTCTACTAAATTAGCAAAGTGGTGTAGGGTATCATAAAGTCGGCCCCGACCGATATTAGGACTTTATTTACTGGTTTTCCTTTGGATATAGATTCGGACACATACGCATAAAAGTAACCAGACCGACTATATCATATCCTACACCCCTATGGATAGGGCTCTCCACAATAAAAAATATAACCTTTTTTGAGTTCACATTATGGCTTTAGAATAGTTATAATTGAGAATCAGAAAGAATTAATATATAGGAAGTATATCCGATTTCTATTTCCACGAAATTTAATGGAGCATTTGTACCTCTGGCATTAAATAACATTGCTGCAGAGTGCGTCATATCATGCACTCGGGAGGATTATATGAAAAAGTCGGGGGGATGTATGATCTCAGCCTTGCGTTATGATTTTTTAAACTGTTGATCCTTTATGGGAGGTTCCGATGGAGTGGACCAACAATAACGAACCTGATTTGGACTATATCGAGTAATTCCTTCACATTTTATGAGATATATAATATTTTTTGTAAAATGTTGAAATATGGCAGACCGAAGAATTCCACTTCATCTAACACTGACAAAACTATTGGTATGTGCAAATTTTCAAGAAAATTCGAACCTTTATTTCCTATTTTACACGAAATAAAATTGGTCTTTTGTGGGCGAAGTAATAGAAGGAGTTAGCCAATTAATTTCATTTTCACATCATATCTCGGGTTGACAAAATTAATTTTAATTAATTATAAAGACATATTGAGTTTCGTTGACTTAATTTGCATGATATGAGAGATATTTTAAATTGTGACCCTTGAATGATCAGAAGGGATAATCCGACATCAATCATTTTCACACTAGATATTTCGCTTGTGGAAATATTGGGATGTATTGCTTATTTCGCTTTTATGAGCGTTTTGTTATTTCCCCCTTTGTGGAGGAGGTGCCGGAATGAGGGGGACGATATACCTCATCTTTAGATCCGATCTTTTTTAATAAAAATATTAAGTGTGAAATATGAAGAAAATCGAATACATATTTCGAATTTTATGAGGGTTTTAATTGTTATTCTGCAGGCACAAGAAGGAGTGAACTGGTGTATTACATCTTCATACCAATCTTGTGTTGCTAAAAAAAATATTCAGATGCGCAAAACTCGAAGACAATCGGACCCTTATTACACACTTCGAGAGTTAACGCGCGATACGAAGTTTCACGAAATGGAAATATTCTCTTGAATTTGAAAAATATATGATGTTAACCATTTGGTGCACAATAGACTTCAAATTTGAAGTACTTGTTTCTAGGCTGAATTCGGTCCTAACTACAGGTCTATCTCGTATCACAGCGTGGTGTATGGAACAAAAATAAATTTAGTAGATATCTAACAATATTTATAGCAAAAAAAAAACAAGATAAAGGTCAAAGTTAAACAATTAAAATAAATATTGAAATCTGTCCGACAATAAAAAAAAAAATCATATTCGGCTGATAATTTGTTTAGGACCGAAATATCTATGAAATAAACTGCATTACGAATTGGACTTACCCAAATAATCCAACGTAGTCTCCGGGTCTGTTGACGGGGATTCTATTTTCGATTAAAAATATTTTTAATATGGCGATTGCCGAAATTATGTTTGTACTAACCCTTGTAATTTAAAAAGATCAAGCGTAAAACTTCAAATCATATTTAAAATATATATAGCAGCGGCAATCTTAAGGATCTTGCTCCTTACATTATTCTTTAAATTTGCGAACATGAAAAAAGTTTGCAAAATTGTATGAATTTTTTCTCGGATATGGATACAATGTGAACTTCGGGCATTATGCTCGATTATTATAGATTATAGACTATGTAATGATGTGCTTTCAATCCGTAACCAAATTCCAAGGATAATCATTTTGTAATAATTTCAGCTGACAGCTTCTTATTCTTATTTCAGGATATAAATATGCTTCAGGATTTATTTATCAGAATCTATATTTTTTCCAATTTATGTTTATTTCCCTTCTTGTTAAAGCCTATGATAATAATCTGCAATATAAAAATTTAAATGACAAATTGTTTTCCTTTTTTTTTTTGTTCAGCCTACTATTTTCAATTCAATTCAATTCAAATTTATTGAGTCTTTTTTTTAACACGAAAATTTACATAAATTCCTACAACACCTGAACATGGTTTAAAATCACACTGCAGGGTTGCCCATATTCGACGGACCCATCTGGCAACGCCATAACTTTTGACAGAGATGTCAATTAATGACATACCGCGTTTGAAGCGTCAGTCCAAGCAGATTTTTACCATGAACCAATACACGCCGCTCGAGCGCTCTGAAATAGTTGAAATTTACAAGAAGTCAATTGTGAAAACTCAACGTGCTTTTAAAACTTTAAGTGTAAGAAGTGCGCCTTCTAAGAACACCATTAAGCGTTTATACGAAAAATTTTCGACTGGTAAGGCTCTTTCTAACCCGAAGAGGCCATATAAAAGTCGACCAAGGCGATCGGCCGAGAATATCGCTGCCGTACGAGCCAGTGTTGAGAAATCCCCAAGAACATCCCAAAAACGCCGTTCTCAGCAGTTGGGCATGGCTCGGTCCACTTTACAACTGATTATTCGCATTGATTTGCATTTGTTCCCGTACAAAATTCAATTGACGCAAAGAATGTTGCCTGCGGACAAGCCTCGTCGATTGGAATCGGCCCAAAGGTCCATCGAATATGGGCAACCCTGTACATACTACCGATTCAAAATATATATACATCCACAATATATTCGATTGAAAAATATATACATCCACAATATCTTAAATCAGGCGGAATCGTTATGTAGATGCTATATTAGGACATGGACCTATATGACCCATTTTTTAAATTCTACTTCCGTATTTTTTCTGCAATTGTTGAAAAAAAATTAAATCTGCCACTCAGTGTTATCTACGAAAAATGAAAGTCGAAAGTCGAAATGAAGTCGTAGAATATTGAGTTGAAAAGAGAAGGTCATGGTTGAATGCATGGTACAATGAAGAGAAGGTAGGTCAACTTTGAAAAAATTGCAAGTATAGAGGTCTACCTGTTTGGCTTGTAATGTCAGAAATATTATCAAAACAATAACAAAATCAAAAAACTTGTTGCATTTATTTTGAATAAATAATTGAAAACCGCGAAAACTGAATGAAAGGTCAACACTTCTTTTCAAAACCAGGTTCTAAATATCTCTAAAGGATTATTTCGCTACAAAAACTCTAGATTTTGTCGACGCATACGATGAAATAAACATTTTGAAAACATCCGAATTTGAATGTTTTCTGAACAATTTTTTTGTTATTGAAATGAAAACAAATGCATAAACAAATAAAGATGACATATTAAGCCAAGAAAATGACAAGTTAAAAAGCAGTAAGTTCAGCGGGGCCGAACTTTGAGTACCCTCAACCATTTGGAACGAATTTGGAAATAAAATCCTAAAAAAAATTTGGAAAAATTTTAAAAATACCGAATATTGCCGTTATATTGGTGCCTATACGACGTGGACCCACACAGGCATTATTTGTCATGAGTCATTACCAAATTCAAATTCGGAACTTGAAATAAACGCGAAGAATGTAGCTAAAATCATAAAAGTATAGAATATAAGGAGGTACCGTTATATCGGAGCTGTGCGAAAACCTGATCCTGCGTAGACAATTTTTTGTCATATTCTGTAGCATCCATTACGAACTTCAAATATGACATTTCAAACAACTTCGGTGAGTATTGTACCTAAACTCGTCAAAATACCGAATATAGGGAGGTACTGGTATATGGGGCCTATACGAAGACTTGGACCAGCATAGACAATTTTCTGTCACAGACTGGAGTTTCCATTACGAACTCTAAATGCGTAATTTAATATCATAATAATCACCAAAATACCGAATATAGGGAAGTACCGTTATGTGGGGGCTATACGAAGACGTGGACCTGAACAGACAATTTTTTGTCTTAGGCTGTAGAATCCATTGCGAATTTCAAATATCAAATTTTGTACAATTCCGATTAAAAATGTCGCTAAAATCATCAAAATGCCAAATATCGGGAGGTACAGTTATATGGGGGCTATACGAAGACGTGGACCTGCACAGACAATTTTCTGTCTTAGGCTGTAGTATCCAGTTCGAACTTCAAATACCAAATTTGAAACAATTCCGGTGAATAATGTTGCTAAAATCATCAAAATACCGAATATCGGGAGGTACCATTATATGGGGGCTATATGAAAACGTGGACCTACATGGCCCATTTACGAACTTAACCTGCCTACTGTAAAAATAAACCTGTGTGCAAAATTTTAGCCTTGTATCTAAATTCGTTCGAAGGATAGCGTGATTACAACAGACATACAGACGGACAGACAGACAGACAGACAGACAGACGGACATTGCTAAATCGACTTAGAATTTTACGCTGATCAAGAATATATATACTTTGTTTGGTCTGACATGAGTATTTCGAGGAGTTACAAACGGAATGACAAAGTTAATATACCCTCCATAGTATGGTGGAAGGTATAAAAAAATTGAAATCATCCACGTCTTCGTATAGCCCCCTGCACCTCCCGATATTCGATATTTTAATGATTTTTGCGACATTATTCACCGGAATTGTTTCAAAGTTCGTATTTGTATTTCGTTATGGTTACTACAGTCTGTGCCAGAAAACTGCGTATGCAAGTTCACGTCTTCGTATATCCCCCATACAACGGTTCATTCCTATATTGGGCATTTTGATGCTTTTGTAACATTCTTCACCAGCATTTATTTTAGTTTCGTGTTTGAATATTGTTATGGCCTATGACAAAACTTGCCTATGCAGGTCCACGCCTTCGTTTATATTTGACTGTAACTCCCTATATTTTTTTTATGATTTTAACAATATTTATTTATTTTTATACCCTACACCACAAGGTGGTCAGGGTATTATGTCTTTGTGCATTTGTTTGTAACAGCCAAAAGGAAACGAGATAGTCCCATAGTTTCTTTTGATGATCTGCATAGAATCACATTCTGAGTCGATTTATGCATGTCCGTCCGTCCGTCTGTCCATGTATTTTTGTGAACAAAGTACAAGTCGCATTTATTGCCCGAGCCAGATGAAATTTTGCACAAATCATTTGTTTGCCCCAAGGACGAACCCTATTGAAACTGGAGATAATCGGTAAAAATTTAGATATAGTACCCATATATATCTTTGTCCTATTTGCCTTTTATTGTGCACCAAACGTGTAATATCAGCCCGAATAGTATGGAATTTTGCACATACAACCATATTAGGCCTGGAAATAAGTATGCCAAATTTGATCGAAATCGGTTCAGATATAGCTATAGCTCCCATATATTACTTTAAGACGTTTTTTACTGGTTGAATATTAATTTATTTATTTTTTATTTTTTGAAAATTCTTTCCAAAAGTCTGGCCTTCTTTGCTTTTAGATCAAAATTCTTACAAATGCAAATATTTTCTTATTTTTTTCCGATACGTAGCACAGTCAGGTCCTACTGAATCAAAAACTATCAAATTCGTTGCAGCCGTTGCAGATGAATTCATGGTGAACGTTTAACTTTTTATTTTAGATCAACTTAGGAGTTTTTTTACCCTACAACACTATGTGTTGGGCCAAAATTTATGTAACACCTCGAAATATTGGTTTTTCACATAGAAAATATTATTCCTATCTTCCCGAGCTGAGTCGATCTGGTAATGTATGTCCGTCCGTCCGTCTGTCCATGTTAATTTGTAATCACCTTACAGGTCGCAATTATGGCCCGATTTTCACGAAATTTAGAATGGAAGTTGGGCTAGGGCCAGAATAGAACCCTTTTAGAGATGATCGCATAATATTTAGGGGTTGAAATGGACCACAAACTTTTTCTGATTTTGCAGTTGCTCTACAGGTCGCAATTATTGACCAATCGCCGCGGAAGTTAGCATGGGGCTAGAGCTTAGGGCTGGGCAGAAGCCTTCCAAATTTGGTCAACGGTTAATATTTAGTGGATGAAAAAGACCATAACATTTCTATTAAACAAAAGTCAAAGTTTACATTAAACCGCGAATATCCCGGCTAAATCAGAAATAGACGAACGCCGTTACATAGATGCAGATAGAAAATATATCGGAAATATATAGCTGGATATGGCTGGAACGATTTTTATCCAGCCATTAAAGTATAAAACCTAAAAAAATCGCATAATAAGATTCCAAAAATAATGCTAACATAAACTTTGTAGTATTTTGTAAAATTTGTTTATTTTTTCAAATTTTTTATCGTATGCCATTTTTTCAATTTGACTTACAACATTGAAGTATATACTTTGAAATATTTTTTTCACATTACAGCACAGGTTGGGGTTATTACATGCAGATTGAAATTATCGTCCGATCCTCACCAAAATTTTCAGAAGGGTAGGGTTAGGCTCAGAAGGGCTAAGCCTATTTTTTTACAAAAATGTTTAGAGGTTGAAATGGACCAACAACTAAAAATGTTCCTGATTTTGCAGCTGTTATAAAGGTCACAAATAAAAGCCAAAGGACACGAAATCTCGCATGAAGTTTGAGTTTGTGTGAAAAAATACCAACATTACTTACAGATGATATCCGAAATACCCAAACGGCGAACTTCTGGTTTTTTAAGCTGATTTCGTTGACCAATATAGCTTAATATCGTAGACAAGCAAATCATATAGATGGGTCTAAATTTGGAGATACAGAGGGCCTCTTGCTTTTTGAGATGATCGCAAAATATTTAGGGGTTCAAATGAACCAAAAACAGAAAAAATTTTCTGATCACACAATTGAAACCAATCGACACGGAATTTTGTATGAAAATTGAATTCGGATGACCATTGAATTATATTTAACTGTAAAATGGACCACAACAACTTGCATAAATATTGGGCAAATGTCCGTGTTCAAAAAGCTAAGGGTAATATCTGGACAGTGCTCCTTGCCATAATTTCAAAAGCGAAATCTTCCAAAATGGATTTGGACATAAGGAGGCTTCTAACATAT